TATTCATCCGGGTCCTTTCCGATTCAGGCTCCGTTTTGTTATCTTCCCAGTACAACGTTTGAATGACCGCCGGCTTTGGTTCATTGACATCGAAAAGCGTATTTTGTTGTCCTTTTTTGATCCAGTCAGCATTTCCTGTAGTGATTCGTTTGTTTAAGGTCATTTTCGTGATCAAGGACTGAGACAGAAGCAGAATTGGACCTTAACCGGTGCTTACTTACTCCTGTAACTTTTTCCATTGACCAGTTAAAGTTTTCCAAGGTTAACCTTTTAAAGGGCGAATGCTGTCTGACCAAAGTAACAAGTTGAGAGTTCTCTGAAATTAGAGTAACAGTTAACAGTCTTTCTTTCGAGTCCCCGGTGTCTCCCCGAGGAAGAAGAACGTGGCCTACAAGGATTGAAAACACGTCATTTTGAAATAATAGTCCGCTTTCCCATGATTTTCACAGTCTCGAGCAGCTGTGTCCTGTGTGTCAGGGTGTTGGGTTTTTTCCGCTGGGAACTTGCCACAGAAAACTATCCATAGGTGCTTTTGTGCTCTTGGAGCCCTGCTCTCGGCCATTGGAAGACCACGTAGGGTGGTTCGTATTTAACTGTGATCTGCGTCTTGTCAGAAGATGGTTCTCCCAGTGAAGTTTAAGAGGTCACACAGCTGCCCTGTGGAATTGTAGATCGCTGGAAGAGAACTTGAACCCTGTGTCAGCAAGGAAAGTAAGGCCCTCAAGAATGGAGTCATTTCTTCACTCCCCCCAGCTATGCTTTTGAACCGTGGGGAGGGCGAAATGGCAGCATATATTCATGATTATCTGGGCATTTAAAAAAAAATTTTATAGGTACTAGGGGTCAAGTTCTCTCAAAAAGAGAAAGCTGTCTTACAAGAAGCAGGTTTCATTTGAAGAATTCTTGACTTACAGTAACTTACTGACTTAGAGCAGCTGCAGGGTCCATACTTCCTTTGGCTAAGCGTTAGCGCAAGCTTCTTGACAATGTAATTGCTAGCAATTAGTATTTTTCAAAAACCTACGCTTATTGCCCCGTGCTGAATTGTCCATTCTTTGGCGACTGAACTTTTTGTATCATAGGTTCTAGTTTGGAATAGAATTTATTTTTGAAAATGAATGAGGTTACTGGAGACTTGTATGAAGATCTCTACTAGAATAATCAAAGCATATAGTTGTTTTTCTTCAGTATATCTCAGTGGATCCACCTATGGGTAACATCAGATAATTGCCTAACAGTTCACGGATAATTAAGTGAAAGAAAAACAAAAACACTTTAAAAGAAACTACATTAGAATTGGAGTAAAATATCTTAAAAGTTGAATACGCGATACAAAAAAAAAAAAAGAAAAAGAAAAAACCAAACCCACATATTTTCCATACACTCCCTACCCTGAAAGGCGTTTTTAGTTCATGCAAGACAGTAACAGCAAATGTTATTACCATTATTCACTTTTGTAGCAGTGCCATTGGTTTTGGAAAGCTAACGTCTAAATATCTTACTCCGATTGTTACTCCTATCTATTAATTAAAGACCGGATTTTTACTTGTATGCCTAGTAGAATATGGTTGTTTTAAGATCACAATGTCGGTTCTATCTTCAAGGACCTTCGAAGTTAATTTCAATTTTAAACTATTTTTTTCTTCTTCCATACACGATTCTGAAAGGACAGAAATGTAACTGCCTGGTTCTATTTTAGCAGTTGTCATGAAATATCTGCTCGATTCATTATAATTTATAGTGGACCAGACGATGAAAACTCACCTAGCAGGAAATGAGTATGTTTTCAAACAGCAAGATCGCAAACCTATTACTTTTCGTAAACTGTTAAGCTATGCTTTATTGCCTTTAGAGATTTTTTTTAAGATTATATATATATTCTTAGCTCAGGCCTAAATTTTAGTTTGAATTGTAAACTCTTTAAATGCCTGTAATTTAAACATGCGTGTTTTTCTCAGCCTCTTCTGAAACAATCTCCTTGGAGCAACCATCAGAGCAGTGGCTGGGGCACTGGAAGCGTGTCGTGGGGAGCAATGCACGGCAGAGACCATCGTAGAACTGGAAACATGGGGATTCCAGGAACTATGAATCAGATATCTCCATTGAAGAAACCATTTTCTGGTAATGTCATAGCACCACCGAAATTTACTCGCTCTACTCCATCACTGACTCCAAAATCTTGGATTGAAGATAACGTGTTCAGAACCGACAACAATAGTAATACACTCTTACCCTTACAGGTAAGAATGGTATGTAAATGGTCTTATTTCTAAGTTGATCTTTCAAAACAAGAAATTGGGTGGTGGTGGTGGTGGTGGTGGTATGGTAAAACTGACAGATTAAAAAATAAAAAATTTCTGATTTTAAGCATTAATTTAAGGGCAAAATACAAAAGGATAGAGAAAATGGATACTGTAAAAAATTCTCTAAACACACGGTAGAAAATAAGCTTCCTAAAATGTAGAAAAACCTGCTGTGTTTCTCCAGTGCATATTGAAGCTTTTAATTGGCAGCTCAAGAATGCCTTAATTTATTAATGTTTAATAGGCCACCAAAATGAGTTTCTCCTCCAATATCACTAAACTAAAATGTTAAGCAATTGTGCATAGGCTTGACTGTGATCAGCTGTGTGTATATTAAAATATACCTAGTACAGCTGTGATTATGGCAAAATAATATTAAGACTTTTTACATCCAATTAAAATTTGCCTTCACTGGTTCAGGGACTATTTTTTCCTAAATGTGGCTTAATAGTTATGATGATTAGACACTTTTTCAGGCCTTTTAAAATGTTATATTGATATTATAGTCTAATAAAGCTATTTACAATGAGATTTTTTTTTTTTCTCCTGAGACCTTCAGAGGGCCAAAGATACAAGATAGAAGGAACTTTGATTGTTTTATTTTCTTTCTTTCTTTTTATTTTTTTTATTTTTTGTGGGTGGGTGTGGGGAAGAGAACTGCTTATTTCTGATGAAAACTTCTATGCTATTGAAGGTGAGATCTAGTTTGCAGTTACCAGCTTGGGGCTCAGATTCACTCCAAGATAGTTGGTGCACTGCAGCCGGAACATCCAGAATAGACCAGGTAGGCTGCACAGTGTATATTCTTCAGGATTTTGACTAGGAGTTTAGTGTTTATATTATGAGTAAGATTTATTATTAACTTTCCAATTATACCTTTTTAAAGCCTATGTCAGAGAGCATTAAAGCAATTTATTTTTAAAAGGTCACTTGACTTAAACTATTTAATATAAAATGTTTCATTTTCAAATTTATGAATGATTTATAATTATTTCATTATTTCCAAAATATAAAATTTTCTTTTTGGAAGAAGGAATTATATACCCAAGAGCACCTGACTTTAAACATCAGTCAAACTGAACAGATTTTATCTTTGAGAGTTGTTTTCAGCTAGGGACAAAATTATGGATTTGCTTATCATTCAACTTTAAGTTTCATCAATATTTTACAGAATTTTTTTAGCAAATGCTTGTCATGGAATCTGCTACATTTGTCTTGAGGTATATTTCTGAAAAAGCCAGTCTTCAATTTTTTTCACCTTTATAAAAAACTTCATGTGTTTTTATTCTTTATTTATTCTTTATTCTAAAATTTGTCACTGCTCCTGTATACTATATTCTTCTAAATAGTTTCCTATAGAAAAACGCTAAATCAAAAAGCTAGGAATCCGTCTTAATCACATTACTTTCAAGCCCTTTGTGGTTGCAAAATGCTATCTCTTTTCCTGCAGACTAAATTTGAATTCAAACTTGGTACCCAGTGATGAGAATTATTACAGGATGAGTAGAAAACTCAGTCCTACATGAGGATTCTTTACTACAGAGCCGAAGCTTGAATGAGCATAGACTTGACATTGTGGGATCCCACTGAATGGAGCTATGTTATCTTTAGCTAACGCTCTTCCTTAGTTAATTTGTCAACATGAGATGATTTTACAAGTAAGGACTGTATAAATAGATGAATAATATGTTTGTAAATAGCTTTCTAACCTGGAGGGTTAGCAGTAACTTCAGTAATCTACCATTAGCACCTATTGTAGACAAGTCCTACCTATTTACCAAAATAGTCCTGCCAGGATCTCCACTTAGAAATAAGTAGTTATCTCACATAATTTATAATTTATAATTTATTGTTTTGTTAACAATGTAAGTTAGCTATCCATCTGTTTCTACCCTCTTCTCCACTCTGGCTCAGTTAGGCCATATTAGTGACATTTTTATGGTAGCCCTTTTATGTTGTTCAAATTGAATGCGTAAATGCCTAGGAGATGGTATGTTTGAAGAGGAAAATTATGGTAATCATTTTGAAGGTGGCAAGGGACGTGTTTTTAGAGAAGAAGAGACATAATTATTTGAAGAGCAGGTGTAGGAAGCAGCACGAGGATCCATATATGGGGGATATTAACTATGGAGAAGAAAGAAGACAGATTAGCTGTCATAAAGGGACCCCCGGGGGCGGGGCACGTGTTGAGAAATGAGGTTATTGAGATGCTGTCAGTGGGTGACGTGCTAGAGTGGATAGAAGTGATGATGAAAAAAGGGAAGTTTTCAAACTGGGCTCTACAGAGGTGCCCTTCCTTGGCTGCTCTGGGAGCAGGGCCTTCAGCGCTCCCACTTAGACTTCAGTCAGAGCCACTCTGTTCTTACCCATGTTATAACCGAGCATTTCACATAAATTCATTTTACTAAAAAAGATTTAGGTGCTTAAAGATAATGTTTTTTTCTTTTGGTAAACTGCTGAGATACTAGCATTCCCTGTGGACCCTTGAAGCGAGGTGTGATGTGATGGAAGTTGAAGAGTGGTGAAGAAAAAGATGGTGGAAAGTGAACTGAACTAGAAAGAAAGGAGGTCTAAAACCTGAACCTCCTTCATCTTTCTCAGTCTTTATGACATCGGAGGATACTGTTGATGGGCTTTCATCTCTTTGGGTCATAGTTTCCTGATCTATAAAAGGAGAACCTTGAACTAGATCATGGAAGGCCTTTTTAGCCAGCTCTTATACTTTCTCTGATCTATTTTGGCCATTTCTTTTCCTCCTTATCCACCCCCCCCCACACACACACACACACTTTATTTTTAGAATACAAGGGTCTTAGTTTATTGGGGAGAAGGGGTGGGAATTGGACTGAGGCAGTCCAGGTGTACTGTATGGCCTCCCAAATAGGCTGAAAAGCAATGTTGTTCTCTCTTTTGAGCACCCTAAGGTACTTAACTATATAAAATTTGTTCTCTGTTTCTATCTTTCCATAAAAGGTTGAGGTATTTGAAGTTGAGGTTCTTAAAAATACAGCAACAGCTGTAAACTTCCAATTGGTATCTTAAACCATTGGGGAGTTCCTCACTATTTGGCAAAGTTAAAATTACAGAAAATTCTTAAGCACTTAAATATCTGGGGAAATATTTTCATTCTGACTTTTTTCCCCACCACGTACAACATTTTAATACTAATAAACCTCAGTTAACAAATACATTATTTTAAAACATTTAACTTTTTATTTCTTTTAGTCTCAAATCGAGTAGGCCTATAAAATATACTGAATTGTAAAACCAGAGTCTTAATTTTTGTACCTGGATACTTGAGGCCTTACCTATACCAAGAACTGGACATGTAATTAACATTCAGTAAATGGGAAAGAAATCATTCTGAAAATTGGTTTTATTTCAGTTATATATAGCATTTTTAGGGTTGGTTGGCATTCTCTTATTTTAAGTAATTATGTCCTTATGGAAAAATCTTCAAATTTAGAACTTTTAAAAACAAGGGTAAAGTTTTATGCACATTTCTGACTTTAAAATTAATGTGGGTGGGGCGCCTGGATGGCTCAGTCAGTAAAGCGGCCGACTTCGGCTCAGGTCATGATCTGACAGTCCGTGAGTTCGAGCCCCGAGTCGGGGTTTGTGCTGACAGCTCAGAGCCTGGTCCTGTTTCAAATTCTGTGTCTCCCTCTCTGTCCCTCCCCTGCTCATGCTCTGTCTCTCTCTGTCTCAAAAATAAATAAATGTTAAAAAAAATTAATAAAATTAATATAGGTATTTTAATTTCTTTAAAATGTTATTAGCTAGTTACCCTTGCAAGAAATTATACTTAGATGTGTGATTTTTAATTACCTTAAAATTGAATTTTCAATTAGATACTGAGATTTCAGTTTATTTATTCATTAATACTTGAATTTTTTAAATCAAAAAGTAAATATACTTGTAGCTGAGATTATTACTTAAAGGTTTATATATGGCACATTAGTTCTCTCTAAATAATTAGCAACGTGGTACCTTTACAGGTGTAACATAGCCATAAAGCCTATGAGATGGTATGTCAGCCTGTCCTCTAGCTAAGGGATTATGAATATATTTAGTTCTGTATTTTTGTTCCTATGGGAGTTCTTGAGTGTGTCACATAAACTACCTTAAATTCATTGAAGATGCTTTGCACCAATCTTTAATATCCAGACTGTTATGACAACATGATAGATGATAATATGGAGGTCTCTCAGAAAAATATATTATTTGGTATCTTTATTCACTTTGCACAAAAACAATAAATAGTAGCAGACCAAGTCCAATTTTTCATTCATTTAATCAAGCATTCCTTAAATTTTGGTTCTTAATTGTGATGAACCTCATTTAAGGACATTGGTAGTCATCAAACTGTAAACACTGAAAATGAGAGAGAATGGGTTCTCTTGTAACCTGCTTAGGTAGTGGATGTTTTTTAAGTTTTGTATCCTGCATTCACTTCTCTAATTGCACTTGATACATTTTTTTTTTAATTTGTTTATTTTGAGAGAGTGACAGACTGTGCACACCCACGAGCTGGGAGGGCAGAGAGAGAGAATCTCAAGCAGGCTCTGCACTGTCAGTGCAGAGTCCTAGGCGGGGCTCAAACACACAAGCCTTGAGACCATGACCTGAGCTGAAGTCAAGAGTCAGACACTCAACCAGCTGAGCCACCCAGGGGCCCCTGTACTTGATACATTCTTATACCGGATAATTTCTACTAGCCTTTTCATTTAACCCTTGTGGATACTAGTGTACCTTTGGCCGTTGGGGCCTTTAAAAAAATTAAAAAAAATTTTTTTTTTTTCAGTCCCTGTCATGGCACTTAGTCAAGGTTCAGATTCATAAAGGAAGTTCAAAAACTGTTATGTTCATTATGTATGAGATAGTGTTTTAATTATCCTTGAGCTATATGGGGAGAAGTTCTGTTCTTTGCCTTTGAGAAGGTGGAAGCCCAGTTGGATGAAGAAGGGGTGTCTGTAGAACAACTAGAGACTGACAGGAGAGAGTAGGAGCCTGATGCTACATTGTGGAGGGAGACAGTAGCATGTCGCCTGCTGCTCATTCACCACAGTGCAATAGCACTGCGTCATCAGGAGTGTAAAATCAGTGTTTGCTTAAAATGGAGGACTGTATTAATAACAACTTTGCTGTTTTATTTTAAAGCAAAAATTGGAAAACCAAACACAAAAATGCAACAAAAGTGGATCTCTCTACTTAGCCAGAAGGATATATGTTAAAGCATCTGGTATATCTTTAAACATGACAATAGAGGGTTTTTCCCTAATCCATCTCCTTATTCTTTGGGAGAATATTTCATTTTCAAGAGGAAAATGTTCTACTTGACCATGTCTTTTGAAATGAGACAGGGTTTTGCATATTTCAAAGTAAAAATGTAACATCCCATTGAAACGTACCCTTTTAATTAAGTTTAAGTTCTTTCTGTTGTACTAGTTTTAATATTCTTGACCTCTTTAGTTATTTTTCAGCATTTATATAATCTTTTTTTTTTTTTAGATTATCCTATTTAAGATGAGGATTTGAGATTAGATTACTTTGTTTTTTCTGTGTCCTGCAGTCTTTCTAGGACTGTATGGTTGCTTCTGTAAGTCTTTATGCCAAAAGTCTGGGTTTAAGAAAATAACAAAATATTAGAATACAAGAGATTATAGTTTTCCAGTGTTTTCTGAGCTTTGCCTGTTCACTGTTGTGGGATTCTGTAATCTCAGTTTATGAAAACCCATTTAAATCGATTCTTTGCCAGATAATTTTCATATTTCAGGTAGATTCCTCATAGTGATTCTTACTTTTGTGAAACTTCTTGGCTGTTTTCAAATAGTCATGTAGTAATAAACGTAGGTTAAGTTACATTGCTATGATTTTCCATATGTAAGCTAATCAGCTTTGGTGTGTTTATGTTTTCCTTAAAATGGTTTCGGGATTTTCATTTAGTTTTTAAATCAATGGCAGTTTTTGTGAACACAAATTTTTCTAATATCCTTATTTTAGAAAAATGCGTGAGTATTTGTTTTATAGTCAGATTTGTTTCTGTTGTTTTTTCCAGAAGTTATATTTTAATACTCATACTTTATTTAATGGAATTACCTGTATTTTTTTAGACATGAGCCTACAGGTTTCATTAAGTCTAGAAAGTGATTTTGAGGTGTCAGGAGCTCTTTGCCTGGTCAAGGTTATTTCGTGTTTGGTGCTTTAAAAATCATGTGGGATGCAGCAGATGCTTACCAAAGTATAAGTTGGCTAATATTTGTATAATGACTTTTTTCTTTTCTTTACTAAAGCAGGAGTTTGTTTCATTATGAAAGACTTGAAATGCAAGGGAAAATAGGGACCTGATATGTGGGCATTACCCTATTTCAGTTCACCGTAGGCATTAAAGCTAAAGCTATTAATACGTGCTGCTTTTTTGAATAACCGTTGTCGGTTGACTATCTAGTGATGGCTGATATTTATTGAATAGCTATTTCCCTTCTTACCTTAAGTAATTGCCCGTGGCCAATTGAGAGTACATATGGAGTCACTTCAATGATTTTACTCTAAATTTTGCTCTAAAGCAGGATCAAACTCAAACTCCTTGAATGGAGTTGGAGTGTGACTAAAAACCAAAAAACAGAAGTCATTTGGGTGGTGGTGAGAGTCACCATTAAGTTCATAGGTCTGTTAAGGATGGGGCGTAGTCTGATTCTGTTAAAGAAAACATCAGCCTGAGAAGATAGCCTTAAACCATAACGTATTTTCTTTGTAAGAATTTAAGGCAAATAGAATATAAAGTATTTATAATACATCTTAGAACCTGTATGATACAGCATACCTAATGAGGTTTCTTTGCTTAATTATGTGAACAGTTTTTATCATGATAGTTTACATTTTTTAATTCTGTTAATTCTATTTTAAATACATCTTTAATACATCTTGTCTTAGTTAACATTTGAGTCCTTATTCCTGTATGTAGTCTTTGCCCTCACAGAGCTCAACTTAAATTTGCAAAGTTTTTTTAGTAGAGTTAGGGTACTATTCATTCAAAAATATTTGAGAGCCAGCTATATTTCATAATTAGAAGGTCCTTACCCCTAATTAGCTTAGTTTAGTGGGTGAGGCAGGAAAATCAACAAATTAATTATGCATAAAGTAAAATGGAAGCACAGAAGATGGAAATATTTGGAGAGATTAGTAAAATTGTATGTAATTTTTGTCCAAGGGCCATGTTCTTCTCTATACTAGTTTTATTTCATTTATTACTTAGTACTTTGAGTCTTTTGCTTTTCTCATATGTCTATTTGCTTTGCTGTGGCTTTTCTATTATTAAGGTGGACTTTAGGCATTGTCTAGTCTGAAATAATTTTTTTCTTTTCTAGAAGATAGAGCAGAGCCTAAAGAGGTTTAGTAAACTATAAGATCAAGAAGTCCAGCACTTCTTTAAGTATGGTTTCTGGACTAGCAGTCCTAAGTTTCACCTGAGAACTTACTGTAAATACACATTCTTAGGGGCCTCTCTAAACCTATTGAATTTCAGACTCTGTCTCAGCAGAATCCCAGCAGCCTGGGTCCCAGATGATTGTGAAGCATATGCTCATGTGTGAGAAGCGCTGTTGTAGTTCAGTGATTATCTGTGCCTCCTTCACCAAAGTCATGTTAATGATGTAAAATAAAGTAAGTAGGGGTGCCTGGGTGGCTCAGTCAGTTGAGCATCTGACCTCGGCTCAGGTTATGATCTCACCGCTAGTGGGTTCGAGCCCTGTGTGGAGCTCTGTGCTGACAGCTCAGAGCCTGGAGCCGGCTTCGGATTCTGTGTCTCCCTCTCTCTCTGCCCCTCCCCTGCTCATGCTCTGTCTCTCTCTGTCTCAAAAATAAATAAACGTTAAAACAGATTTTTTTTTAATAAAAAAAATAAAGTAAGTAAAAGACAAGGAGTACCAATGTAGCTGTATTGTGGTCATGCTGGAGTAAGAGCTCTGGCCTAGCATTGTGTCTTTAGTATTACTTTGCACACTTCTAAATTCCTCAACAGCAACTTGTTTAGTCTGTAATACTGATTCTGGCCCCCTAGTTTTAAAAAGTTCACAACCCTAATTTAAACCTCAAGTGGAGTAAATAAATCAACATATTTTCACAAAAGCTTCTTAGGTTTGTCTTCAGCTTTCCAAAAGACTGTCTCTAAATCATCCCTAGATTGTGGACTCCTTTGGAAAACTGATGAAAGTCATAACCCTTTTCTTCAGGAAAAAAAATATGTGTACACACCCGTACAGGATATTGTACATAATCTCAGAGATTTCATGGTCCTTCTTGGAGCTCATGCAGGTTAAAAAATGCCTAATTCTAATTTCTGCAAAGAGTTTTTCCCCTACTTTCCTGATTCTTCCCTTTTTCTGTGTTAGTCTTTTTT